GTATGTGACACTGTGAGTGTTGCAAGGCCAGATACGGCAAAAGAAGCTGACTCAGATAAGGAAATATTTGATACATTATGATGTGATATGAATGATAATGGGACACATCAACGTCTGTGTCACGATTCTGATGTTATGTCACGTTTTTAGTTTTGTTTGTCGTGTTATGGGTGTTTTGTGGTTCTTTTCTCCCTGTCTCATGTGTTCCTCTTTGTTTCTTGTCTGGTCCTTCTCCCTGTGTTTTCCTTCCTGTTGTTAGTTTCCCTGGTGTGTCTGATTGTCTAATTGTGTTCACCTGTTGCCCTTGTGTGTCTGCCTCCCCTATGGGAGCCTGCCTGCAGGCAGCAGTGTCAGGACACCTGCAGTCTGAGGACACCTCCACTCTCAGGACAGGAAGTGCACGCGAAGAATTCCAAAATAAAATCGCCACTATCAGTACAGCGCCACTTTCCAAACAGGAAATGCACGCAAATACAAAATAAAATCGTATCGTGACACTTATTATATACATATGTATATATATATATATAGATATATACGGACACCTTGGATTGTAGTTACTATCAGTGTAGCCGCAGCGCCACTTTCCGAACAGGAAATGCACGCTAATACAACATAAAATCGCACTGACACTTATTATCTATATATATATATATAGCCTATATAGATATATATTTATTTATATAGATAAATACGACATCTTGTATTTTAGTTACACCCGCTAGACAACAGTGGAGGGTTCGAGAAACAACCGTGTTTGCCGGGTGCACCTCGGCGGAGGTGGGGAGGTTCCAGCTGGGAACCTCCATCACCCCGCTGCGGGACCCGTGGGACCCGTGAGTAAGACGGTGCGTCTTGGTCACGCTTCATATCGGCCGGCCCGGGAAGGAAGAGACACGCAGAGTGGGGGAAGTCCCCCACCCCAACGCAGCACACCCTCCCGGCCATCAGAGTCGAACCCGCAGTTCGGAGGAACCGACCGCCAGAGCACCGGCACCGGGCCGGCGCGGAGGCCCTCTGACAGTGGGTCGCGTTTGCCATTCGATCAGTGAGAGGAGAGGAGAAAAATGCAACAAAAATGGTCAAAATCCGTTAATATATGGATGAATGGGGGGGGCTGGACACAGGCCGTGGGGGGACACCCGAGACCGGGCAGTGTCCCCGGTAGAAACCGGGTGAAATAGCCAAAAAATAAAAAAATAAAACCGAGGAAAATAGGGGGAAAAGGGAAAAAAAGTGTCCGAAAATAGGCACTCGTGAGGCGGGCAGAGTCCCCTGTCAACTCCCGTTACATTCCTCCATGGTGTAATTTGAGCGAAAAATGGCTAAGTCAACTTCTACGAGAACCAGGCTGGGGGGGTCAAAATGGCTTGACCAAGGCCGACCCAAAGTGCACGGTGGGCGGACTCATCACCTCCGTGATGAGTCTCCATTGTGATTTGAAAACTTCCATCAAACGAGTCTTTCAGGGGGCGGGGAAAAAACATGTTCGTCAGAATCGTCACTTCCTGTACTGACAGTGGAGGTGTCCTGAGAGTGCAGCCTGCACCAGAACTTTCCTGAGAGTGGAGGTCTGCAGGCAGGCTCCCATGGCAAATTCTGAAATGTCAAACACTAGATTAAAGTGAGTTTACAGAAATATCTAAAATCATCGATTCCCACAGTCCAACAAAAACAACTTTAATTTCCTCCTAATTCAGTTTAGAGAAACTTTCTGAGTCTGAAATCAAAAAACATTTAGGCTACAGTACATACCAATGCCGGCAGAGACATTTGAACTCTAACAATTAACAGACTATATTCAATAACATACTACTGCAACTAAACCAATACAACGTGTTGTTTTATGTCAGTGACTGTTTCTCTGTCAAACTATACTAAGAGCTGTGGCTTCTGCCCGCAACAAGTCAGGAAGAGGTCTGCTAAGTCATTCTGTCCTCACAGAAGTTGGCTGTCTTTCAAGAAAAGCAAAAAGGTCAAAATCCATGCAGCCTCATGGCATTCCCCTGTGGCTCCATAGGTTTTTCCACTCCATATGCTTTCTATTGTTGCATCAACATGAACTAAAGTAGTGTGTAAGGGTTCAGCGATGACAGCTGTGGCTTTAACACAGGAAATGGCAGAAGCTGAGTGTTTTTTCCAGTGAACATGGGCAAACTGTTAAGTGAGGCGACAGCTTGATCCTTCTCATGTTCCCCCTGTTAATCAGTTTGTGTCAGACTATCTCTCCTCTCATTGTTTTCTCTTACATTTGTCTTTTGCACCATTTTCACTATGAAGAGCATCTGACACTTTCTTCTCTCTCTCTTTATCTCTCTGTCTCTCATTTGTCTGTTTAATGACTCGTCTGTTGGGCAACTTGCCTTTCCAAGATGACCCTGACAGACAGGTTTGTTGAGCGGCAGTGGGCACAGACCCAGTGCCCTTTACCAAGGCATCTTTGCCATCCTGGTGGACACTGCCAACCCTGCCCACTGGGTCGGTGAGGTGAAAACGAGACTGAAATATTAGTATGTCAATAATAATATAAGCTGAGCATTTTTTTAAAAGGTATAGGTAACAGCTGTAAATAGAATCAGGGTCCTCCATGGCATATTTATTGTTGTATTCCCCCTCTTTCTAGCTATCAATGTGCATGCAATACGCCTTAAATCCTCATGGTGGTACCCTCCACTGACTGCACACACATTGAACTTGTGTGATCCCTTTCATTTTTGATGAGTCAAAGCTAGCACTCAGCCTCCTCAGGGGAAATGTTTGATCGGATGGAACAACCCAAGGAGCTGTAAGGTGGAGGAGAAAAAGTTTACTTAAAGTTTGTGAATTAGTTTGAAACAAGGCCACCACCATCCTCTGTGTGGGAGGTTTGATTGATGTGAGGACACTGTCCCCCACCCCCTCAGTTTCATGTTGTCAATCCATCACTGAGTAAGGTGAGGAGAATGGAGAGTGGATCGAGTTTCAGCTGGCTGGAAAATGATCCTCAAGTATTTCAGCAAAGCCACGGCCTCCGTCTGTGTCACCTTCAGGGCCGATGGGAACTGCAGAGTTAGCGTGATGTCTCAGAGTTCAGTCTGGACTCAGATCACACTGTCTGTGTGTGTGTGTGTGTGTGTGTGTGCTTATTTGTATGTCAGTAGTATATCGTTTTAGATGATCAAGCAGTAAAGGAAATTGTCAAGTCACATAATCTTAAATTAATATAAAAAATGTCTGTTTGTTTTTAAATGCTAATGATATGCAAGTCCTTTTCAGATCGACATTGACACAAACACACAAAGTCCCACACTTAAACTCCAGCTAAACAGAGTAGCTCCAGATTGAGTGAGTCACTAATTCATCGTCATGAATAAATCACATTCTCTGCTACTCTCTTGTACTCTGCAACACTGCCTTTTCTAAAACACACCAATACGCACCAACACACACACATTGTACACCCTGTACAAATTACGCACTGGGCTACAGTAGGTTGCATCCTTTGCCCTACACACTGACAACTTTGCTTCACCGTAAAGTGCATTAGTGGATAACCGAGTGTCCTCAAAAAGCCTTTCTTTAAAACTTTTTTAATGTTTCTTTTCTTTTTTATTACAGTGAAGCTTTTCCTCATTCTGCCATCTGCTGACGACACAGTACACAATCATAGTAAAACATAATCTATAACATGAGTTTTCGCTTGTATCACTTTTCACGTTTTGACCCTGACAGACAGTTGATAAACACAATACCTTTTGATCTCTGCACTCCTCAAGAAGCCATTTGTCACTTTTACAGCCCCCCCTCTCTCTTTCCCTCTCTTAGCAGTAAAGAGGAGTTCATGTCACCCTGCATGTCCCTAAGGCAAACTGATGGCTACACCCAGAGACCCAGGCGAACACACAGGGCAAGGCAAAGTGACTGCTCCTTTTATGCCACTTTGTTTATGCTGTACTCTCTCATCTCCTTTCAAATGATGCCTTCCCCGTCCCACTGCAATCCTTCTTTCTTTCCCCCTTTACAGCATCCCTCTTGTCATTTTTACTTACTGCTTAATTTCTCTTTTTTTTCCTTTTACTGCCTCTTTTTCTCTCATTTATTCAGTCTCGTGTTCCTCATGTTTCAGCCAATTCTTTTATCTAATCCACTCCCCCCTCCTCATAAAATGTATCCCCCCTCCTTATCTCATTGTTATTTTTCCCTCCCTTGCCATATAGATCTCAATCTCTCCAGCATACGCCTCCATTCTCACTGTGTGCAAAAAGCCTGTTAAATTTCCCACAGGGTAAAGCAACAACAAAGTAGGAAATGGATGTGTATGTATCAGAGGCATTGATTTCCTCTCATTATAATGGGAAGGAGATGGCAGTGAGGTGAAGGCTAAAAGGGCTTTGGTCGATACATTCTCATCACAGGACACCGGATGTTCCTCCCTAGTCGGATCAGTTGTATTGCCCGGCACACGCAGTAATTGTCATCGGGTGACTCTATTAATTGAGCAGTATCAGGCAACAAAAGACAGATGACGGGGGTTATTTTTCATCGGGGATTTCCAGTATAGTTTGGAATATGCAGTACGGGAAATCACAGTGGAAGTACAAGCAGTGGTTCCTATAATATCATTTTAACAGGAGCGGCAACAGAAAAAAACCCAGTATGGACTGGATGAGTAACTTGTTCACTTTTAAAGTGTTTTTAAGAAAAAATGTTAACCTTCGGACAGGCAAGAGATCAACAAATGAACTGAATGAAATGCCAAACTATTATTTTAAGGCCCGTCTGTTATCGGTGCATTCATTTATGCACTAAAGCTGTTTTACTTTGCCATCATGAAATGTTAAATTCCCTCCTGTAATGTTGGCAGTGAATACAGATTGAGTGTGTGTTGCCCAGGTCTTCCCAGCCATGGTGTGAGGCGCCTGGAAATACAGAGGAATGTAGCAGGGTACTGCAAAAAGGAAAGACTCTCTCTCTCTCACATACACACACACACACACACATGCATTACCTCTACCACCTTCTTGCCCATCTTAGAGACAGCCTTTTTTCTCCACCAACCACAGTAGCTGGCACAAGCTAAACCCCATCTCACAAAACCAGGAATAAGCCCCAGAAAAAAAATGACGACTCTCACTTAATGGGCAGATAAGACCTTCGGACGAGCTCCTCGGACACACAGATCCGCCCATTTTCTGCACTAGCGATCTGGAATGAGATTGACGGACTGCAGACTAAGCAGAAAAGAAAACAGACAAAATCAGACTTAAGTAGATATCTGGAGATGAGGGGAGGCTTCTGCTCTGTGTTGTTCCTGGTGATTGGGGGGACCTTGCTTAGTGGTTGCCTGGGTAAAAACAAGTCTACGGATGGCAGTTTTGGCAGAGATGGGGTGAAAAGAGCCAGGCCCCCCCACCTCATCTTCATCATGGTGGATGACCAGGGTTACGGAGACATTGGCTACCATGGCTCAGACATCCACACTCCTGTGTTGGATAAGCTGGCAGCAGAGGGGGTCAAACTGGAAAACTACTACGTGCAGCCTATCTGCTCCCCCTCTCGCAGTCAACTCATGACAGGGCGGTGAGTAACTACCTCATTCTTACAATAATATTACGATGTGAAAAGGATTCAGTTACTGCATCTACTCTCGTATGATGGGATTATGTGCAGGATTTATAGGCTTTTTGTCTTTTGTTTACATCTCTAATGGTCTATTCAGTAATGGATGGGGCAGCTTTCAGAACCAGAAAGGCCGTCAAATAAAAGCACCAACAGTAGTTACAAGATCAAATACTCAATTATTTATCCTATCAAATCACTACGACAAAATATACTCAGATTCATGGGCGGAGATAGAAGAAACAAAGAGAGAATTCTCACTTTACTGGAAGAAAAACTTTATTTTAAGTCTTATTTCTGCAAATAGTTGGATCAAGATGTTTTGTTTCGTTTACTTTACAGTGTGTATACTGCTGGAGAGGTACAGTATATCACTGACAGCTGTCTCACATCATTACATAATCGGACTGATCTTTACGAGCTTCAACAAAACCCACAGTCAAATAAATCATAGCCCTTTGCAAAGCACCTTGTACATTTCAGTCTGTTCTGTTGTTTGATCCTGAGTTTCTGTTATCGCCTGATTACTGGACAAATGGCAACATGAACAACACCAACATATTTTCAGTGCAGATTAAAGAGCTTGAGGCATCTTGCAGGTAGAAAGGTACAACAAAAAAGATCATAACAGTGTACTTTTATTTATATATAACATTAGTCTGTAACTCCTATTGTCTTGAGGCTGTGTAACAATATTAGTCAAGGATGCAATATTTCTTGAATCATTTATGAGATGTCCCACTATTGTGTTATATATATATATCTTATCAAGACACTTTCCACTTGTCTTACCAGCTACCAAATTCACACCGGACTCCAGCACTCGATCATCCGATCACGTCAACCTCTCTGCCTGCCTGCGGACGTCCCCACCCTCCCAGAGCGCCTGGTGGAAGCAGGATACGCCACACACATGGTGGGGAAATGGCACCTGGGCTTCTGCAGGCCGAGCTGCCTGCCGACCGGTCGGGGCTTTCAGAGCTTCCTGGGAACACTGACTGGCAGCGGAGACCACTTCACCTACCGGAGCTGTGACGGAGCGGAGGCTTGTGGATTTGACCTGCATGAAGGAGACCAGCCTGCCTGGAAGATGGCTGGCAACTACTCCACCCTGCTCTACGTAGACAGGTGAGCATCAAGGTCGTCATTTAATGAAACATATTCAAATACAAAATCAAATGTACTTTAACATTTCCTTGATCCCATGTCTGTGATGCATTGTAATTATACTTATAATGTGTTGTTATTCGCCTATAGAACTGTATAATAAAAGTTACAAGCACTCATAATTGTTCATAATGCTGCTATATAATTTGTATTTATGATCGCTAACTATGATTATACAGTGCTAGGAGCTAATTGTATCTCAGTATGTTTATAAGGCATTATGAACATGCGCATCCTAAAAGTGTCACCAAAAACGTATAAAACCTTCCACTGTTCCCTCTGTGTTACCAGAGTGAAGCAGATCCTGAGGAGCCACGACCCCCTCAAACCGCTCTTCCTCTATCTGTCCTTTCAGTCCCCCCATACACCCCTGCAGGTACCAGATCACTTTCTGCATTACTACGACTCTCAGGGCAATCGTCTCCGGCGTCACTACGCAGCCATGCTGAGCTGCCTGGACGAAGGCGTTGGAAAAGTAGTTCAGGAACTGAAGACGAGTGGGCTTTACCAAAACTCAGTACTGATCTACTCCTCGGATAACGGAGGGCAGCCACTCTCTGGGGGGAGCAACTGGCCACTAAAAGGTGGGAAAGGAACCTACTGGGAGGGGGGCATCAGGGCTGTGGGCTTTGTCCACAGTCCCCTCTTGAAGAAGAAGGGTGTAGTCAGCAGAGCACTGATCCATGTTTCAGACTGGTTTCCTACATTACTAGGGCTAGCCGGTGCCCCACAGTCCAACCACAGCCTAGACGGTCACGATGTGTGGGAGACCATCAGCAAGGGCTGGCCTTCCCCTCGCACTGAGATCCTTTTCAACATTGACCCAGTCTCCAGGAAGCCCGGGGATCCATATGACAAGGCGTTGGTACTCAATGGATTTGGGATCTGGGACACAGCCGTAAGGGCAGCCATAAGAGCTGGAGACTGGAAGCTTTTGACAGGAAATGTGGGTGACGGGGACTGGATCCCCCCACACGCTCTTCCCGGTGGTCCAGAGCGATGGCAGAAACTGGAGAAGCGCCGCAATGAGGTGGGGAAGTCAGTTTGGCTGTTTAATGTCACCTCTGACCCCTACGAGAGGTCCGACCTGGCAGAGGTTCATCCAGAGGTGGTGAAACATCTGCTGACTCGGCTGGCAGAGTACAACCTGACAGCTGTGATGCCCAGGAACCCACCGGACGACCCCATGGCTGACCCTGAGTTCCATGGAGGGGTGTGGAGCCCCTGGCTGGGCCTGGAGGGACAGGAGGGGGAGAATGGAGAGGGGGATGGCAGAATAAAAAAGATGATGAAGATTAAACACTGCAAAGTATGCAAACTAAAAGCCCTGTTCAGAAAGGTGACCTCACGCCTGGAGAGGAAAACACTGTTCTCCTAAACATCTCATCCAGAATCAATTATTAAATGTTTTAGTATGCTTCAAATGAATTAGATTTGAACACATCTAAAGGTAAAAATGTGAAAACCTGTTTTGAATGGCCACAATCAGGGGGCAACAAATTATGCGTTGGTACACAATCTATCATACAAATGGATAAAAAAGGTTAGTCTCTCCTCAAAGGCAATCATGGTGGTGTTCTTTGGTTTTGTACGATTTTGGAAAGTTACAAGAACCAGTGGACACTTAAAACAACATACATTTGTGGGAGCAGGGTTTTCTGATGGTTTCCAATAATCTAATTCCTTATTTGAAGCATATGGAAGGCTTTACCAGGAGGATCTGAAATGGAAAAGGTGGATGGAGACACAAACAAAAAACCAGACAAGCCTGCAGGTCAGACCGACGAGATAGAGCCACGATCAAATACTGAAAGTCGGCAGATACTGTAAACAGGCAGCCCGATAGAAAAGCAAACAGGGCTGAGCGGGCGGACTCACTCAGTGTCCTGCAGCCAAACTGCAGCAGGGTGACTTTCAGCCATTGTAAGACAGCGTTGGGAGCAATGTGTGTGTCATTGTGCATATATGCCAGTACCCATGAATAGTTTGAATAATACAAATAGAGTTTGTGCCTTTGGAAATGAGGCCTGAAGAAATGGAGGATGACTTCTCAATGTCTCATCATTCTGACACAAAGACGCCTGCGGGGGGCTGTTTTGGTCAAACGTCATCTTGATTTTTTTGTTTAGGGGCTATAGCCTACTATTCACTTCTGAGATTGAAAGATCTCTGACCGCAACACAATGTCCAACAGAGGTCAGTGGCTGATACTATCATGTAACTCATTTACTGTGTTATCAGATGCAGGAACCTGATTTAAATGATCTAAATAAAACCATGTAAGCAAAAGGCTGGCTCTGTTGTGATTGGTCAACCACTTAGAGATGTCCCTACCCGTAGCCTATCAAGTACAATGTGTTGGAGCACTATAAAAGTGCAAGTGTTACATTTTGATGTCACTATGTTACAGAAGTAAACAAAGGATTCCAATGGTGGCGTTTCAGGCAGGAGGGGGGTGTGGGGGAGAGAAACTACATGTGGGGTGACCTTTGGGATTGTAGCCTTTGAAGCCTATTTACATGCACAAAAACACACTACAGAAAATGGGAAATCCAAAAAGGGCCCCTTTAAGGTAAGGGAAAGATGTTCAATGCTAGTTGCACTCTTAAGGTTAGGAAGACATTGTGATAATGCATAATAAAATACACGAGTTCCCCACTCCCCTGTTGGCACTAAACATTGAAAATGGACTTGGATCGTGGCGTGCAGACTCATCCAATATGAAAGTAATTGTTAGGTTCACTGTTCTGGGAAAGCCACAGTTTTGGGCTCATGCTGTTTAATTGGGCGTGATGTATCTGTCTGCTGGTGAAGCTGCTGCTGTGCTGCTGTTGTAGCTTAACAGAAATGAATCATAGGCGGTGCTGCTTGGTCTCTAACGACACGTAAACACAGTAAACAGCCTCAACATTGATCTGATTGTTTCTGATTGCAGCAGCTCATTCCTTGACCCCAGCCTTTAGCTGTGTGTTTCAATATGTGTGTGTGGATGTAGACGTGTTTCTGAGTGAGTGTCGGCAGCAATCCCACACAAAGTAGCAACAGCGCTGTAGATATCTCCCTCACGGCCTAATAATGAATATTCAACTGTCCTTCTTATTTCTTCCTCCTCCCTCCCCGCATGTATCCCTCAGCTCTTTGCTCATTCCCTCTGCACACCACCCCCCTTGTCTGTCTCTCTCATTTTGCTCCTCGTCCTACTCACTTGTTTGTGCTCATGGAAGATCGAGTTAGAAGCATTATCCATGTTTTTGCTGAGAGCTCTGCAGTGTACAGTTAAATAAAAAGAGTGGAGGGTTCCCCAGGGGGGGGGGGGGGGGCTGTAATGTCTGAAGTGCTTGTAGATATGATTAAAATATCTTGTTCTTTCATAAAATCGTTTTTGCATACATACGATTCGTTTTTGGGAATGATATATTTTATCATTCATATATTGAATTTACATCAACAACAGCCTTTTAGACCTTGTACTTATAATTCCTATACATTCCTTTTCTCATCAAACAAGCGGATACTTCTCTCAGTCAGCCAAAGAGTGAACAAACAGATATCATGTTCACTATATTCGGTTTGGAAAGGTTACAGAAATGATATAGACTTGTGCGTCGTAGAAACCATAGCATAACAAATGCACAGAGATAGAACGTGTCCACACTTCTCTACAGAGACAAACTGTTTCTCAAATACCAGGAGAAACTCTTATGTCAGTGACCTCCATCCATCTTTATGAGCAGTACTGGAAATCGAACAACTGGAGGCTTTCTTTCTCAAAGAGTCTCCATCTGCACATAGTTCATGACTTATAGGACATCACTCCAAGGAGCATTGAAGCTGAAGACGCTTTGTTCACCTCACATATGTATGCAACGGACACATACAGAAAATACCTCACACGGTGTAAAGTAGTGATGAGATTTGATGAGACTGCTTTGGGTTAACAGTAGAAATGTTGCTCAGGGACGCTCAGAGCCCCGTACATGTGAGAAACTGGTGAAGACAATCGTTAGATGCCCACACATCTGATTCCCAGTATACAGTGATGGCCCGCAGAAATAAGGCACCGTCAGAAGATATAAATCACGGAGGAGGTGTAACACACACACACACACACACACACACACACACACACACACACACACACACACACACACACACACACACACACACACACACACATGAACAGTGCTATCCAGTACGTGGGAGGGAGCTGTCATATCCACTGTTGGATAATCAGTTGAAGGTAAGGCTAACTCTAGATCTTTGCTGAAGTCGTGAAATTAAACACAATGGGCTCAAGAAACTTGTTTTATTATCTTCAGATAGACGTTGTGTTCCAGATAAGACATAACAAAGCCACATTTCTCATTCAGTGAGACAGGGTGGTTTCAATGACGCAATGGGGACACATTTGCTTTAGATTCTTGCACCGTAAATTGGAGCCCATTAAATGCTGGATGTGCTATGAAATGCTTATTTGGGACCAAGTTAGTAATTGACAGAGGAACGTATTAGATCCACTCTAATGTACTCTCTGTGTCATACTATTCCCAAGGAAACTGTTGAACCGAAAAACTGTTTTCCAATGAGCTGTTTCAGAGCAGATCAACCGCAGATAGGAAGTGTTGACCCTCTGGGCGTTGTGCTTGGTATTGACAGTGGTCACTCCCTGAGACAAACACACATCTCAAAACCATAACAGTCGAGTGATGTTACTGGTCAGTGAGAGCAGGGAGAGGCTTGTCCAAAAATACGTAGAGCAGCCGAGAGCCAAGTTGAAAACATTCCTGCAGAATGAGTCACTCCCCTTCGGCCTGTGTGGCTCCACAACACTGCTGTTAAAGTTTCATCGCTGCGAGGAAGTTCACAAATACCATAAGAAAATGAAATATTGTCAATTTTGTGCATTAGCGACGTCATTATGAGCAGCATGTTCGTTTTTCTTGTGGGAAAGTTAACAACCTTAATATTCTAACTATAGATGATGACCTCACATAATCAATTTAATGTTGTAACTCAACATAACAATTGAGCAATGTGTCAGGGTTTTTGGGGAATTGTATAGGCTCTCTATTCAGCCATGCCTAGAGGGTTTCTTTTTCAAATGTTAAATAATGCAGTGTCATGTGATGAGGTTGGTGCTATACAGTACAAACAGGAAGACAATACAGTGAGCTATTACTAATAAGAGGCAATTACTTCATCAAAATGAAGCCTGTTGGTGCTATGTGGGTGGTAGAGGAGGATGATACTGAATCACTGATCACTTTATATCTTATGTATAAGTTCTTTAAAATTCTTTAAATACAGCAGAGATTGCAAGATTACACAGTTAGGCTGAAGAAAATGTCTTTAAGGTAAATTATATTCCCTCTTTCCTAATCCTTCCTTTTCTCTGGTAGTTTTTCATTCTCAGGCTTCTAACATATCACATACTTACTTGAAATACTCAGGTTAGAGTTAGACATTTAACAGACCTCATAGGGGTTTTGTTGTTCTTGTGACACAGGTTTCCCAGTAGACACTGCTTCATTTTCATGGTATACAAATCTGAAAACTTGAGAATGGCCCTATTACCGCCCACCCTTCAACCTGCCACTGCACCTGTCCAAGACTCCTGTGACAGGCACATCACCAAGAAACATAGCAATTCAGCAATTAATACCTGCTGCACCCTCGCTCATTAGGCTTTCAAACGAAGCGGCTCCCTGCAATTATGTCAGAGACTGGTCGCACTGCCCCTGTGCTCACTGCAAACACTCATTAAGTGCCGGCAACATTGTTCCAGATATAGACTCACAGCTCAGGGGCAAGAAGAGAAAGGGCGAAAAGAAAGGAGATGCACATGTTTGCATTTTCACATATTGAAGGGCTTAGGGCTCTTTTATTTAGGTAAAAGATAGAAAAGTTGCCCAATGTTTGTCTGTTTTATATCGAAATGCACATTACCTTTTAGTACTGTCAATTTCATCTTTTAGCAATGCTGACAACAGGTAACAGGACCAACATGCATACACACAGGAATAGTAGATAGTGATGGGTGTTTTTGATCATACATTTGAAACTAACATGGATGAGATGTCCTTAAACCTGGTTCCACAAACCTCAGTCGATATTGCCTATTTACACCCCAAACCACAGATATAAATTATTTTTTATTTATGTCTCGAGCCGGTTAATTAAAGTCCAATATTCACTTTTGTTGAAGCTCCATTTTGGGTCTCCTCCAACTCCTGAGGGGTGACTCTTTAGCTGCTAAATGCTATGTTCACCAGCTAGAGGCTTAATTAGTCTGTTGCATTGTTTGCGTACAGTGGGTTTATAAAGCTAAACGGAAACAATGTGAAGCAAAAATACTAAACCTCAAAGTTGAGCTTAAAGACACTGAAAAAATCTCTAGAGCTGATTTGCAAAAAGAGAGACTTTTCATGTTTAGCATGTGATTGTTTGACCAATTGTTCAAATGTTCATAAAAGTGTCTTAAAATTGCTCAAAGCTTGTGTGAAATTTGAACATGTGCGAGAGCAGTAAAACTCCACCAATACTGTTTCATCGACTAAATAAATATGTCTATCTTAAATCATGTGTATCATTGCTGCATCTGACCCAAAAATAAATATATGCATGTGAGGGACACAGTAAGCACATCACTGGAGAGTGTGCAGCTGTAATCACCCACACACACACATACATACTTAAAGATGGTGCCAAGAGGATATATTAATACCCTTCATGAGATATTCATGAAAGCTCAGATAAACCTTTACATTGCAGCAGGCCGTTACATAACGCATATAATTCCCTGTCTCTTATACAATAATGCTCCATTTTACAGTTAAAATCCCTAAAACTGCACACGAGTCAGATCGAAGCCTCGACTCCCTGAAACAGACTCTACTGGTTACTGTGTGGTGAATGTGAGAAGATAAAACACATGTATTTAAATGATAAAGCTTTGTCAGCACTATGGAGGCAGATTCACTGTTAAAAGATAAAAAGCGAGGTATGTGCATTTTTCAGTAAAGGTGAAAGCCTATATAAATTCACTGTCACATGCAAACAGTGTTAATGGTAACCCAAACAGTGTGAGATCATTTTTCTGCTAATTTAACGTTTTTAAGATGTAGCTGTGCAATCATAATCTGTGTAATCAAGCGTTTTTCCATATACAGTATATCCTCAGTCTGATGTCACATTGCAATGAATAAATGTGATCTACCTTTAAAAATAAATATGTACAATTGTTTTGATAGCACACTGAATGCGGTTTTTTGTAATGATTATTGTCATTTGCGGGTTTCTGTTATATATTTGAAACATCATTTCGTTGTTGATTATGAATTATCATGAGAAATAAACAGCAGAAGTGTTCAAATTATATACACTATTATTGTATCCTGGTTCAACATTTTCAGCAATGACTAACGCTCCTCTTTTTACTAGGCCCAGATTAGGAAATGAAAACCATAATACAGTGAGCATGCAGCTCATTGCTCTGTGCCAATATTAAAATATTGCGGCATCACATCTCACTACATGGTCTTCCAAGGATGCTGCTCTTTTCAGCTGTTCTGGAGTCAGCTTTACCTTTGTGCACATATGTTGAATATGAAGGGAGAGAGGGTGAAACTGAACCTGGATCTGTGGCTTCTGCTACACCAGAAAAGATCTCGCGTGGTTTACATCCCACCTACACCACTACTGCCAAAGATGAAAAAGCAGAAAGAAGTCTCACTCTGTCATTGTTTTCTTGTTAGAGAATTCCAGCATTTAACAAACTGATAAAATGTGTGTGTTTTACGATCACATGCTATGAATAACAGACCTATGAAAGCAGTACAGATTATAGACCCTTGATGAGTTAATAACATCATATTTAAATCAAAATCATTTAAAAATCAATATTTGGTGTCAAATGGTTGATTTAGCTGTGTAATACGCAGTAGGTTTAAGACTTGGTTTAAGACTAAAAACTGTTTTATTTGCACATTTCTGATTCTGATCTAAGACCAAACATAGCAAGCATGCATGTTGCAAACATCAAAATGGTTTGAGTAAAACAAAACAAAATCAATATAGCAATATATGGTTAACGCCCACCTTTGGAATTTCACTTTCCAATTATTATTTTTAAACACAGTGTGACTCATCATCTTAATAGACGATCTTCGTTACTACAGCTCCCCCCACCCCCTCTCCTCCCTCCCACTCCCTGCTCCTCTCTCTGAGCTCGAGCCTCTCTTCCCCTCTCTGCTTCACGAGTTCTCCTCCCGAAACCTGCGCGAGACGGCAACTGAAGCGCGAGGCTATCCCCCCCTCTCTCCCCAGTCAACATGTCTACAGTTCCACTCTCGACCAGATTCACTGACGAATATCAGCTGTTTGAGGAACTCGGAAAGTAAGCGACCACCACCGCCGCTGCTCTTGTTGCATTCAGTGTGTGTGTGTGTCTGTCTCTCTTTCTCCGTGTGTGTGTGTGTGTGTGTGTGTGTGTGTGTGTGTGTGTGTGTGTGTGTGTGTGTGTGTGTGTGTGTGTGCGTGCACGTTTTTCTCCTCTGCTGCTGCTGCCATTGTGCGCGTTTACTTCAGTGTTGACAAGGCAGGAGAGGGCTGTCAAAAAAAAACAGGGAAGCGTAGGAGAGCAACATTAAGCTGTAGGCAGGTTCATGTTAGCGCTTCAAAGGCTTGTATTTAATCCTCAATGTGTATTTAAAGGTGTATTGCACCATTGTGGCTCTCTGTGTAACCCGAAAGGTGTGAAACATCCGCGTTTAGGACCAACTTGTTTGTCAATTAACTGCAGGTCGAAAACTCGCTTTGCACGCAGCCGTAGCCTGGTGGCGTCCTCGTTGCTCCTGTTCAATCATTCAGCTGTTTTTGTGCATTTCTAAGCAGACTGCAGGGTTACTGTAGTGTCAAAAAAAATACAGAGAAAACGAGGCTCTGCTGCATACAAGACTCCAAATCTTGGTTTTGCGCATCGCACATGTACTGCGTCCCGGATTAGGACACACAGGTTACAGTACAGCCACTTTGTAACATCTAATCTTTGCGTGTGGTTTATAGAGCAGCTCCACCTTCCCACACAGCATGAGTTTAAAGGAGGCGTCTGTGCAAAAAAATGGACAAGAAGATAGAGTTGAATGTTGAATCTTTCAGTTTATTCTCCTTCACTCACAAGCTCTGCCTGTGAGCTAATAACTGTGTCTTTTCACCATGAATAAAGCCCCCCCTCTCCTCTGCCAAGCACTAGTAGCCAGGACCTCTTCTCAGATCTCATACACAGAATATCAGACTGATTTAATTATGCATGTGGCTTCCTTTCCCCTCTCTTTAGGTGTATGCGATTAAAGCATGCCCTTAGTGTGTGTCTGGTTCATGCACTTTCCCCTGAGATACACAGATTTGTGTTATGTTTGAAGTGGTTTCACTGATCTGTCATGTTTTTTCTTCTGCTCCAGGGGTGCCTTTTCTATTGTCCGCCGATGCAGCAAGAAGTCCACCGGCCAGGAGTATGCTGCTAAAATTATCAACACGAAAAAGCTGTCAGCCAGAGGTTAGTACAGTGGATATTCACTCAGTGTGGCTCGGCAGATCACTCAAGGAGTCACATGAATGTATGCACACTGAAAGCTGCTGTCCACTCGGCTGTAGCTGCTCAGATGTCAGTTCAGCTGCAGGTTTGCTACTTTATTTCCTGAAAAGCTGCAAACCAGTCGCTCTTTCCTCCTTCTGTCAGCAGCGATTCCTGAAAAGCCACTTGGCAGAGCTGCTGTGGTTAAAGTTGCAAAGCTTCAGAGGGCTTTACCAGCTGTCTGCAACATGTTTTGGTTTGTTATGGTTATCAGTGGTCACCAGCTTGACCTTTAGCTTAACATATTCTCCACCCACACAGCAGCACGTAGGATAAGATAAAGGTACATTCACATGCTCCTCTGATAATGTGGAAACAATGCTACAAATAAGATGAGTTGGGCTATGTGGGGTGACATAGCATGCACCGATAGAGAAATGTCAACCATAAATATTTTAACTTTTCCACTGCAGTGGCGATTCTTCTGTGATCTTGTGCAATGTTTATATACCGTTACTGTAATATCAAATCACATATACCGTGATGGATGGTTTTGGCCTTGTTGCTTAGAGAGTTTAAATCACAAGTTGTTAGCTGTTCTCAGGATTTATGCTAATAACTTTTCTATCTTATCTTGGTATCTATGAGGACACCAAATAACTCCCCCAACCGAATACCGTTTTGCAAATAACACGAGCATAGAAATGTACATGGACTATTATTATTAACATATTTATTGCCTCAACCCAACATTTACTTTTGTCAGCCATGTTTATCGGATGGGGCGTTTGGGGAATTTTCTGAGTTGGGAACTCATTTTTCAGATTTCTTTCAACCACATAAATGCAAATGATACAATCATGCATGTTAGCCACATGTACAGAGTGACTCCACATTCAACTTTGACCTTCTGTACTCACCCTTACGTGTGAGCGCACACTTGGCTCCGTGTTCGGATCTCTCTTGCATTCAAGAAACTGATTGGATGTATGACTCAAGATGATTATTATACACTCCAGGGAGGCGTGTGGCGCAGTGGATAGAGCCTTGGTGTTGGGAACAGGTTCAAACCCAACTGCAGTCAGCATGTCGTTGTGTCCCTGGGCAAGACACTTCACTCCAAATTGCTCCTGTGGGGTTGTCCACTGTATTGAGTATGTAAGTCTCTTTGGATAAAAGCGTCTAACAAATGACATGTAATCCACGATTAGCACAAATTGGGGTTAACTATTCCTGTTAGGTAATATATCCAGCTAGGACTGTCACTTCAAAACATTTTCAAAAAAATGGGTTGTTTTCAAAAACGTTGTGTGATGATGTCCCACATTTTAAACAATTACTTCAGACTGTGAGAAATAAACAGGAAACTAGAAAATTACACGGTGTGTGTTGTGTGTGTGTGTGTGTGTGTGTGTGTGTGTGTGTGTGTGTGTGTGTGTGTGTGTGTGTGTGTGTGTGTGTGTGTGTGTGTGTGTCCAGGACTCACTTCATTATCTGCCCTGTTTTTCTCTGTTATCTGCTTATCGTTATGCCCCTGTCCCAAGCATATGGCACCATGTGGAAGCCAACTTGAATAAAAATGTAATTAGCCATATACTGTAGTGATGGACAAGGACACAAAATGCAATTTTCTTTTTAAATATTTTATTTTTAAGTGAGTATAAATGCAAGAAAAACAAAGTTGTAAATAAAAAGTCACAGCAAAGCTTGTTGTATCACACCACAGCCAGAAACTGGTCATATTTGAGGAGCTGTAACCAGTTAATGTGGCTTTTTTGCTTTAAAAACACCATTATCCATTAGTTTATTATAAAAGAATGGTTTTAGTTTCACTTCCTGTTATTTGAGCTGTTTACCAAAAGCCAAACAAGTTGAAACTGCAGTCAAAAATTCCTTGTTTTGCTCAACCAACAATCCAAAGATGAGGGTCATTTATTGTTACTCTGCTGTCACACAAGGACAATTACCATTGATAACATTCTAAGGATTAGCTTTTGGTCAATCGAGTGTCGTCTCTTTGTTTCAGCTTAACAATGTTGATATTTTTATTTTGTCATGAATGAACTGAATTCCTGACAAAAAAAAAGTAAGTTTAGCCCTACTGTGTTGACACTCATTCTGCCTGTGCTTATCACTCCATCGAAAGCAGCGAGTAGTTTTAAAGGGACCGCTGCCTGTTAACATTACATTTGATTACATTACATTAGAGGATCTCAGGTGTGTGTGCATGAGTGTGTTTGTCAGTAGCTGTCACATTAGTGTGTTTGAGTCATGCAGGAGGTCTTTATTAGTCACATGTGCAGCTCCCAGAGTATCATTGACTGAAATACATTGCACAGACTCCAGTGTGCAGATTCTCATACTTTCACTTCCATTGCTTTTATCTTGCGCAATAAACATTCTCATTTCCTAGTAGCTCTTTGTCACCCTTTATTCGGCAACTGTAAAGTAAGCAGACGTTGTTGAATGCACTGTCTATGTTTCTGTCGATTCACACACATCAAACCCACAATAAGTTGTCAGATGGCTGCAGTAATTACACTCTACAGGTGAGTAAGGTGTGAAGTAATGCTGTTCCCCAAATGGAAAGGGTTTATATTAAGCTTATTTATTGCGACAGTTGGAAGATTGAAAAAGCAATAAAGCAAGGCGCACACATGGGAGAGGCATCCAGCAATAATAGTGTGTGTGTGTGTGTGTGGGTGTGTGGGTGTGTGTGTGTGGGTGGGTGGGTGTGGGTGTGTGTCATGCCGGCAATACGTCTAACCAACACCGACTGTCTCAACATGTTTTGCAGTCTTTTGCCTTTCTTTCACTTTCCACATTTTTTGTATACGTCTTTACATTGCTATGGTAACACGTGCAAAAATTCCCTGCATCTGATCTCAATTTACCTACAGTATGTTTTGAAAGGGTAGATTTGTAAAGGGTGGATTAACGGCTAACTTGTTTGGTGCGGTTAAAACAAACTCTTGTGTTTTTTCCCTTTTTTAGTTGTTAGTTTGGGCTGGTATAAAAACCTTATCGATCTTTTGTGTGGACAGAACAGCCAGACAGAGATCAAATGTAATAGAGGGTCTCAGAAGTTTCAGTAAAGTGTATCCATGTAGGGAAGGAAGTGTGTAAGGAAGGAGGCATTAAAGAAAAAAGGAAGAAAGTCAGGAGGGAAGATGGTAAGGATGTTATTAAGTAGGGACTTAAGTAAGTTATCTAGAGAGTAAGGTTATCAATTGTTTGAACTACTAAAGTATACTTATTTTGCATTTGTATTATTACTTTCCATATATCTGATTTACTCCCTTTTTTCTATATTCGAAATAATCAATAATACATTCCTGAAATTCTAAACAGTTACTATGACCAGCAGTGTGTGTAAGTGTGTGTCTCTGCAGCTCCTCTGACATGCCAGAGCATAATCCAGCCCTGATCACACACTCATTCTCACGCTGTCAATCAAGCAGCCTGTCTCCATGGAAACGCCTATCTTGCATGCATCCCATCATTCGTCACACTTCACAGCTAAGATTACATACACTTGGTCACCACACATATTCGCTGGGTGTCGAGTATAATGAATCGTAACAAAGTGCAATTCAATGTGTGTATCCCTAGGACTCTCGGGTGTCGGTCAGAATTTTTTTTTTTTTTTTAGAGAATGTCTTTGAAAAATATGACTTTTGGTTTACTTTTATTTTGAAGGGTTTCATCTGACAGCAGCCACTAGTCCCATCAGTGGTTAAATAACAGAATAAATGCCAGAGTATGAATATCGTATCTCAAGCCTCTATCAGTCATTAGCTTATATGAGTTTGATGAATAAAAAAACCCAGTTTTTCTTGGCCCATGTGACTTGTCTCAGTCTCAGTCTGTTAACTCGGGTTGGGGAGTAGTACAAAGCCTTTCCTGGCTCTCTATTGTCAAATATTTAGATGCATTGTGGGAGTTGTAGGCACCTTGTTGTGAAAGGAATAATAATGCATAATATGGTCGGAAGATAAATTACAGCTTCTGAGCAGCCACTGTCAAACCAACAACCATATATTTAACAGTGGCGAACCGTCAGGGCCTTCAAGGTATTCAGAGAATACCATGGAACACTCAGATAAAACCAACAAAAAATCGATTTAATTATATAAATAAAATGTATGTAAAAGGAATACATGAGAATCGTATCTGTGTTGTTGATCTGTAATATTACAGTGTTACGTTGATTCGTTTGTCCTTCTCGGTCCATGCACTACGCATTTCAGTGGTTTTGTGTTAGAAAAAAAAGAAACCAATCAGATCTTTTTCTGGGTAGAATAGTCTTCAACCAAGGTATTCTATATCCTTGAAAGAATACCCTTGCCGTTGCACTGCATGAGAGCGTACCTTTGGATTGACAACCAATCATCTATTGATTTGTAGCCAATAAGCGTGTTCTTTCAGGGTTTCCCTCGGTTCCAGGGTACTCTAGAAGGCCCGGTAGTTCACTGGCTCGAGACAGAGGATCTAGATAAATGCCACGAAGCAATTCATATGCCGTTTTATAAGGGCTGCTCGATTATGGCAAAAATTATAATCTCGATTATTTGGGTCAATAATTGATATCACGATTATTAAAAACGATTATCCACTTACTTTGAAAACATCCATTTAGTGAAAAAATATCGTAATTGCGATTAAAATATGATTAATTGAGCAGCCCTACGTTTTATTGTTTTTAACGTTGAAATGGCAATTGCAACAGTTCAAGATGATATTGTTGCGGAATTGTTGTGAGTACCCTTTTCAAGACAACAATTCAGTGAAAAGACGGACATTATAATGGCGGCGGAGGGTGTGTGTGTGTCTACAGAAGGTCCAGTTGTGATAGACACGGTTCACCACTGATATTTAACCAATGATATTTAACCAATGATATTTAACCAATGATATATGTGTGCAGGTCTGTATAAGTGNTGAATAATGTATTAACCAGGCATTTCATCACATTTGATCCAATGTGATGTACATCTTTTATTATGAGAAGCGAATCAAGAGTTTACCTTGAAACAGGAAAACATCACATTGGATCAAATGTGATGAAATGCCTGGTTAATACATTATTCAAACTCAAGTATGCTCTAGCAGCTCTTTGAGTCTGGACTTTGGCACTGCGATGCTTTAAGCCTAACGCTTATATCGGCTTGCTAATATGCTTACAATAAAATGCAAACATGCACATTTAAAATGAACTTATATTATAAATAATATTAGCAAAAAACACAGTACAACTGAGGGCTATGGGAGAAAATTTGAGAAAAGTTAAAGGTGGGGTATTTCATTTTGGAGAAACCAGCTCGAGTGCGCTAGAATTTGAAAGTACGCAGCCGAAAAAAATCTGCCCCTTCCTTCAGACTTCCTCACAGAGCCCCTCCTCCAACACACACCAACGCGCACATGACCAATGAGGGCACGAGATAAGTTTGTGCACAGATGGAAGGCTGACAGGCAGTTAGGCCATTCAGTTATTTTAGCCGGGCCGGCTCAAATGATTGCTCGTGCTTTTTTCAGCGCCACGGCTTCCACAGATGAATTGTTTAATGTATTTATTGTCAAAGCATTTAATATATTCATTGCTATCGGGATGTTAAGAGCATTCCATAGAATATAAAAAAAAAAGTGTTTCTGAAGTGAATTACCTACCCTACCTTTAAATCTTTGTTTAGCTTAAACACTGTTGCAGACGTGTTTAGGCAGATATGATCTGTGCATGTGGTGACATGCAGGCTAGTTTATGTGCATCCTGAAAACTGATTTTCATGTAGTGTAAAAGTTAGTTTAAAGTAAAACATCCAACACAAAAGACGAGAGGCTTCTTTCAAATCTGTTGTAAGAACGTTCAACAACTAAAGGATGAAAAGCTACTAGTAGTTACTACTTAAAGAGTGTCATTTCTGAGCAGTTAAAAGAGATGTAAATGCTCAAGGAGGCCGACAGTGAGTCTACCTTTAACCACTAGGGGGAGTAGTTGGCACAACTGATCTTCAGCAACATGTTTGTCCAGATATATATCTGATACTTCACTATCCCTATACCAATGTGATATAAACTGGATATGTAGTATGTGTGTGGTTGGGCAATTGCTTTAACTCTGGTGTTCTGTTAGATATCATATTAAGGAAGACAGGTTGACATTTTCTGCGAATATCTGACCCAGGACTGATCTTGGTTACTATCCTGAGGTCTAGAGACAGCTGCAGAGCGAGGCTGCCAAAGGGTTCAGCTATCATTGGTAACCTCTTGCAGCATTGATAATGGCAGCGTTGCCTTTCCAGCTAGGGGATGATCTAGCCGCTATCAACAGGTTTAAAGGCCTGTCAATGCACAAATGGAAAATACAACATAATTAAGGGAAGTGAATGCTGACACTAAGTATGCAGGGGAGATTGAGGTGTTTGTTGTTTTTTATAAAATACATTTTTAAATGAAAAAAACATAACACCTGGTTAGCAATAGTAATTTAGAGCATTTTAGCATTTAGTATAATCTCCTCACTGCTGCAGGCCTGGATGTAGACTTTTAGTTTTGTGCCTAGCTTAAATGTCTTTGTCATAGTGTCCACATCTGCCACCACGACTAAGAGTTTGGCTTGTTGTAACAATGTGGATAAATGTAAATGGGTTGTGGGATGAATCAGCATCTGCCTATAACGAGAAGCATCATCATTTCTTTGTATTTTATTTTTGTATCAAACATTTCTACAGGATAATCATCA